CGAGGTTCCCTCTGTCATGCCAGCCACAGAGGAGGAGAGAAGAGCTGGGAGGGGAGAATGCAAGGCCAGGGATGAAGAGGCCCCGCCCAGCCTGGGGATTCCCCCGGGCCTCCAGGGCAGCTCTGGCAGCGCCAGTCTGGATGGGGCCCTTCCTTCCTGCCTCCGGTGCCCGCTGCTGTCCGCTTGCTCAGAGAAGGGGTGGGGATGGGGTGCAGGTGCCCTGAGAGGTTCAGGTTCTGTGAGGAGAGCTGTGAGCTGGGTGTGACCAGGGCTAAATGATCTAGTCATTTGAAAGGAAAGATTTCTAAGTGCTGTAGTTACAAATCCTCTGGTTTGAAAAGGCAGCAGGTGTCAGGATTATGTCGAGGCCGCCTGGACTCCCTTCCGTTTCCATCTACTGATGGGCCATCAGCAGATACCACACAGCGAGGGTAATCTCATCATTTTCAAACCCAGATATTTAATGAGCACAAATCCCCCATGGATGCGGAGAGGACCGATGACTAAGACTTAGTGCTCCGAGGTGCTTAAATTCACCCTGAAGGGGCGTACATTCGTTTAGGGAGTGGGACCTAAAAAAGTTAATGAACATTTAAAAATCCTGAGTAGCCAAGATAACGGAGAGGTCATGGGGCAGCCTGTGCTTGTTTTTAAAAATGCTCAGAAAAAAACAAAGCTGCGCTGCACACCCAGGTGGGCTGGGTCGGTCGGGAAGACCAAACAGGTCTAGAGGTGGCGGGAAGGAGGACCCCTCTGGGACCAGCCTTCACACACAGCAGCCAGGCCAGCAAAAGGCTCCCTGTGTGGCTGTGGGCAGCATAGGTGGTAGAAGGGCAGGAGTCTGACTGGGCCCTGCCCTGGGTGTGGGAGGGTGACCCTTAAGGCCGTGTGGGGCAGGGGGCTGAATGCTCCTGCACCCAGAAGAATGGGATGAAAGTGGAGGGAAACCCCATTCTCAGCACAAACCAGACACCTGAGAGTCACCCTCATGCTCCCACTCCCTGCTCCACCCACTTTTCTCCAGAGCAGGGAGACAATGTTCTGTGGGTGGGTCCCTTGCGAGGCCTACTCCCTGCCCTCAGCCCAAAGGAGAACAGTCGGCTGCCTGTGGAAGCGCCTCTGCCTCTGGAGCCCTTAGAAGCCATCTCTGCCTCCGCCCCCTGCCCCCAAAGATTGGAGGACGCCCCACTTCGGGCTGGCACGAGAGCTGTTCCGCCCTGCACACAGCTGGCACAGACCTATACTGCAACGAGATCCACAAACGTCCCTACTCCCCAGGGAACCAGAATGCCCTGAGGCAAGGGATACACTCAAGATCTGATTAAATAAATAAAGGGATGATGGAAGGAGGAAGGGAGAGAGGGATGTGAGGGAGAGAGAGAGGGATGAGTGAGCAAATGACTAAGCGACCAGAGGGCAGTTGTGTGCAGGGTCACTGTGTTGCAAAACTCCTGGGACGCCAGTCACACTGTCCTTGGTGAGGATGGACACTCCAGCCGCACAACTGCCAGGGACAGGACGAGGAGGCGGCTGGCCAGGGGGAGAGGCTGGCCTGCCCGCCTCAGCGGGAGAAAGCAGACCAAACTCTTTTCCATCTTTCTCCCCAGTTTGGCTGGAGGAGTCTCAGGAAAGGGAGATGAGCAGAAGCCAGAGGGCAGCCAACACACCCCACCTTCTTCCTCCCCACTACACACACAGACCTGCAGAGTGCAGCCTACAACCCAACAGAGTGCCATCCAACTTAGGAGCAAGACATGTGTCCTGCAGGTCCTCTCTCCTTCCTTAGACACCTGCTCATGCCTGTCTTCTCTGGATGCCACCAGTTGCCTCAGTCAAGACTGGTGTCCCCCACCACTGCCATCAGCACGAGGGCATGGCCAGCAGGCCCAGAGAGAGCCATGTGAGCACCAGCAGGACTGCACAGCCTTCCTACTGCAAGGAAACCCCTCATCCCGGGTCCACAGCACCCGCCCCATGATCCCAGCCCCTGCCAGGCTGACATTGCCAGCCAGCCTGTCGTTCTGTGCCTGGAGGGGAGCTCTCTCATGGCCTCGGTGCTCTCTCCAGAGTGCTCCTCAATGGCTTCCCTCTCAAACCAGGTCTCTGAGACCTCTGAAGGTCTGATGCTCCCCTGGGATTATCTGGCCCAAGGTACCCTGCAGGCCAGGAACTCCTTTTTAGAATCCAGTTGTCTTCATCTACTGACTTAGGGAGATGGCACCACCATATCAAGCACAGGAAACAAGAGAAGGTCATACCCCTCCAGCCCTTTCCTGTGGCCCCTTTTCAGGGTACTCAGCTCATTTAGGCAAGCTCATGCTGCTCTAGAAGACTCTGTCAAGTTTAACTGGCCCAACTCCCCCATATACCTCACCGTCACACAGAGAGGGAGGACCAGGGAAGGGGTGAGGGCCACACCTCAGGGGCTCCCTCCCCTGCATAGGCTACAGTGGCACAAAAGCCCAACACAAGCAGAACTGTGTGCAGGCCAGATGGAAGCAATGGCTATGATAGCAATTCCCCATTCCACCAGGCTCAGGGATGCAGATGATCCCTACCTAACTCAGGTACCCCAAAAGCTGTGTACAATTTAAGGTAAACAACCCACTAATGACACGCCCAAGTGGAGGAGGCTTATCAGGGTCTTCGGGCCCCCTGCCAGAGGGGCCAGAGTAGCCAATAGCCTATCTCACTGATGGTAGAGCCTTTCATCCCTAATGGCCATGGTCCAAAGGCCCACAAACCCTGCCCCTAGCCCACCAGTTCAGCATCCCCACCAGGTTATCATACCAAACCACAAGCCTGGCTAGAGAGTAGCAACTCTCACCCCCTCTCAGGAAGGCTCCCCAGTTGTTGGCTTCCCAAATGCCAGGATGAATTTCCCAATGTCATGTTAGTGGCTGGGAACAGAAGATGTGGGTTCCAGCCCCAGAAGTGTTAACAACTCACCATGGGACTCTAGGCATGCCCTCCCCATTCCTGTGGCTCCAACTTCTCATCTAAATATGCTGGGCAGGCGGTGGCTTCGTCTCCGAGGGCTTAAGCTCTCATTTCTGTGCTTCTAGGAGCAAGGGGGCTTTGCAGGGCTCAGCAGGGACATCAGCCCATCAGGTATTCTGAGGGAGTTTCCTCTCATCAAAGCCCTGGTCTTTCACTGAAGCATGTGCACACTTGAAATAAACAATCGTTTGTTGAGAGTCTAGCAGGATCCAGACCCTCTGCGAGGCACTGGGGAAACGTGAAGCATGATAAACTGCCCTCAAACAACCATTCTACAGAGACAGAAACTGAGGCTCAGAAGGCCCTGGGATCTGCACAATTCAACTCCCATGCTGCCTGATCCCTGTAGAGTTTTCTCCCAGAGCTCCAGGCCAGCTGAGATCAGCACTGAGATGTGAAGACCCCTGAAACCTCTCACGCGTGGGGAAAAGTAAAAAGAAAGTGAGCCCTGAAACTGGACACTATTAAGTTCAGAAACTCAGTACATCTAGGACACAGCACTCGCTGGCTGAATTGACCTTGCTCTGAAAAGGCCAGCCTGACCCCAAGCCCCATCCCTGTATTAGGGCCTGGCCACCTTCTGGACCACTCACCCGAGATAATGAGCAGCAGGAGAGAGAAGACTGCAAGGCGACTTCCACAACCCACAGGTACACACTCCACAAAAGCACTGCTCCCAAGGTGGCCTGTGTCTTGGCCCTTTGCACAGACAGGCCCCAAACCAGGTCAACTGGACTGGTCTTTAGAGCTAGAGCTGGGATCCTACCCCCAGCGGCAGTCTTCTAAGTGGAAATGGTCAGGGCCCAGGTTATGTTCCTGCAGCCCCAGGTGAGGGGCCCCTGGAGGGATGCGCTGAGAATCACTCCTTCCTACAGGTGTCAGAGGGGTCCGCGCTCTTCAATCTGGTCTTTCCACCATGAGACCAACCGGGATTTCAAAGATGCCGGGCCGGCCGGCAGAGGCTGCTGGGCAGGGAAGCCGTTTGTTCTGCCCTGCCCCACCCTACCTACATCGTCCCTCCCCACCACCCCCGCAACCCCTACTCCGTGGCAGGCTGCCACCGTGACCTCCCCTCCCCCAAGAAGGGCGGTGAGCTGGGAGGTGGGGGTAGGTGGGGGTAGGTGGGGGTGGGAAGAATCCAATGGCCGCCAACGCTCTCTGGAGGGGTGCTGGGAAGCAGGCAGGGCGTGTCGTCTGGTCCTTTCTCTGCCCAGAGCCAGGCTTCAGACTCTTGGTGCAAGGCGCCCCTGTACCATCCCCCAATCTGCCTCGCACTGGGGAACCCTGTTGTCATCCCCCGACCCCTGAGCCCCAAAGTGCTAACACACACCGATGAAGGGCAGTGGGTCTGGAACCTTCTGTGTCCAATTGGACTTAAGCCAGGGGAGATAGGTGCCCTGTTCCCTTGGGGTCTCCACCGGCTCTTTCCAGGGGAGACAGGTGTTAGTCTTCCCCGTGGCCTTCTGCCCCAGGGCCTGGACGTGCCTATATTACGCATGGTTCCAAGCTGGGTCCGCAGGGAACTGCTCTGGTGCAGCGGGGTGGGGGGCGGCCAGACGCCGGCCCTGCCTCTTTCTCCGAAGAGGGGTCCCCATTCTCCCTCAGACCCCCGCCGGCGCCCCGCCACCTGCGCGGTCGCCCGCAGCCAGTGCCGCAGTGCGAGACAGCCGGCGAACCTGGCGCCTTCAGCCTTGGCCAGCGCCGCCGAGCTGGCCGCCGCCCTCCGGCCTCCCTGCCGCGCCGCGCTGCACCCGCACCCGCACCCGCACCCGGAGCCCCCCAGATCCCACCTCACCACCCCCTCCTCAGTCTTCACCCCTGGCCCCTCCCCTGCCCGGCGCCGCCCGAGCTGGCCGCCACCTCCACATCCCCATCCCTCCCCTCCACCCCTGCACCCAAGGCCCTTTCCGAGCCGGAGCCGGGCAGGGTCCCGATGGGGTGGATGGTGGGGCGGCGGGGGTCGACTCCGCGTCAAGCCGGGAGAAGAAGCCGGCACTCACCGCTCTGCTCTCCCAGGAACACCAACTTGAATTTTCTCAGCGGGTTCCCAAAATCTCCCCCTGCGGACATGGTGCTGGCAGCCGGGGCCGGGAAAGGAGGAGCAGGAGAAGCGAAGGAGCAGGGAGGGGGGAGGAGGAGGGCGAGGGGGGGCGGCCGGCGGTGCGGGAGCCGGAGGGGGAAGGGCGGGCTACGCGCGTCCCTGGCTCCCCGGCTGCGCCCCGGCCCCAGCCTGCGGCTGCGTGTCCGGCAGCGGCGGCGTCGGAGGAGCAGGTGGGGGGAAGGAGGAGGAGGGCTGGGTCTGGGCTGCTGCGGGCGGCGCGGGCGGCGGCTCTCTGGACGCCCAAGGCGCAGCGCGGACCGCAAGGCGCGGGCGGAGCGGGGCGCGGGGAAGCACGGGGCGGGGGGCGCTCTCCGGGGCCGCGCGACTCGGCCCCCTCCCGCCTCCGCCGGCGCCTGCGCTCTGCGCGCTCCCCAGCCTCTGATGTCATGCGGGGCCCGCGGGGCTGCGGGGCTGCGGGGCTGGAGGACGTCTGCCCACCCACCCCGAGCCCGCACCCGGGCTGGGGGGCTTCACCTCGCCGTGCTCCCGAGAGGCCTCCGGATCTGTCCGTCTCTTGTTGCCCCTCAACATTTGTGTTCCCCACTCTACCCTTTTAAATCCAGGAAAATGACATGAAATTGTCATGTAATATTTGTTTCTGAGCTTTTCAAACCTAGATGCCCGTCCCTTCCTCCACCTCCACGACGTCGATACACAGCGTAGCCCTTTGAGAAGACGCAAAGGAGAGGAGGTGGGGTGAGAACCAGGGTGTGGTATGGTGGCCCAGGTGATGGTAGACGGGCCCCACTGTGGCCCCTTATGGCCTTAGCCTGCTCTCCCCTCTCTACGCCCAGATCCGTCCTCTGGGCGCCTCTAGGGGTCATACGTGTCCCCGCAGACTTGGCCAGCACGAGAGGAGGACCAGCATAGGTCGCATCTACCCCAAACCAACCGCTCCTACGGATCATTTTATCCAGATTCTGCTGCCCCATGGGAGAGAGGGGGCAATGACATCCCCGAGTATTAGAATGGACATCTCCGGAACAGTGCCCTGGATATTCTGCCCTGGGGCCACCAGGCTGACAGTGCCAGTGCTTGCCCAGGAATTAGATGTATATGGGCCATGAGCTCCTAGAGGACAGGACAGCAACCTCCCATTAACACCTCTATATTCGCCTGACGTACTGGTGCACAAAGAATGAGTTGTGGGTGGATGAGAGTGAGGAGCAGATGCCAAGTGTTAGAAGCACTCCCAGGACAGCCCGCAAGGTGTTCTGGTTACCCAGCGTTTTACAAAGCTGCCTCTTACTGGCCTACTACCATGTGGTCTTATTCTTTTACAGCTGTTTAAGGAACATTTATGTGGGGTTATAACTTAAACGTTTGGGAACAAGCTGTGTGTGTGTATTTATGCAGAGAGAAGAGTGAGAAGCAACCTTCATCACTGGAGATTTCTAGGAGACATTTATTAGCCTCTTTTTTGACATAAAGGGCTTCCTTGGCATGTCACTCTGTCTGTCTCCCTGGCTTGTTTACCTACAGCCTCTCTTTCTCTCGTTGCTTGTGAAAGACCAGAGAGTGAATTCCATGAAAGCAGCGGTTGTGGAGCCTCTTCAGGGTCCCATGGACCAAGCTGAGAGCTTAGCAAATAACTGAATGTTTAAATGAACATCTAGAACTCAAAGCTGCTATGTTTCTCAGCATCACTTTTGTTTTGGGGCCCCAGTGGCTACAGGCTGTCACTGTGGTACACCCAACCCACTGGGCCTGGCATCAGACTCAGGGGTAGCTTCCCAATTCCCACTCTGCTTCTGCTCTGGGGTTCCTGCTATCTCAGGAGACTGCATCCAGAATGGGGCTGAAGGAAGCCCCAGTGAGAGGAGACTCCTGAACTGCAGCCCTTCCCGCCTCCCTGATGCCCCCTCCACAGAGTGGCCAGGGCAGCTACAGTCAAGGCACCACCATGGTGACGCTCCTCCAGCCTGCATCTTCTCTGACACCTGGCACTGTCTTCCATGCTCCCTCATCCTGTCCTGTCCTAACGGGCAAGACGAAACAATTGAGGAGTGACAAGGTACCATCTTTTAACAAGCCTGGTTAAGTCCTGTACCTTCCCTGATCATCTGGTCCTCCACACACAAGGCAGGGAGGGTGGGGTGGGACACAGGCCTCCCTGGGCACCTCCAAGCTTCTAAATCAGACCCCACTGGGAAGATTGTGGCCCAGGATGTACCGTGGGACTCGATCAGGATTCTTCCAGTTCAATAACAAAAACCCAACTTCACCTACTTTAAGGATGGGCTCATGGAGCTGAGCAGATACTGCATTCCTCATGGGATGTGGTCGCTGTGCTGTGGAAATCAGAGTCCGCTCTGCTCCATGTGACCTCCCCTTCTCCATTTCTCATCATTGCTTGTATCCCCTTATTCGGATCTTGTCCTTAACCTGCCCTAGAGCAGACAGGCTTTCTCCAGGTGGCAAAAAAATGTGAAATGTGGCCACTGGGATGCTCAGCCTGGCAAGCTCACCAGAGTATCTGCTACATATAACACCTTTGTGTTCCATTTTTAAAAATTATGTAAAGCTTCTTCCTTTCTTCGGTGTACTATATATATGTAAGTGGTAAAGTAAACTTGTCAACGTGAGTGCCCATTTGCCCTCTACTGAGTGGGAGAAATCAAACGTTACAATACTTTTAAGGCCCCCAGCTGTGTTCTCCACTACACCCCCTTCTTCACCTCCCTCTCTCAGGCAGAAATCCAGAACCCTGGCTTTTCTTTGAAGTTTATCGCATTGGGTTGTGTCCTTCAACAATACTTTGTTTTGTTTGCAGCTTTTGAACTTGATGTAAGGTATCAAACTGTATATTCTCTCCTACAACTTTAATTTTTCTTAATATGTTCCTGAAGTTCATTTGTTGATGCATACAGCAACAGTCCTTTCATTGTAACTGCTGTTTAGTATTCCACTGTATGCTCCAATTTTGAAAGCATTTTCAGTAAAGTTTGTCTAGTTTAAAAATTGTTTTTAATATAAAATACATTTAAATTCACAGAGATAATCTTATGGAACCATAGTAAGTTAGCAAAACCAGGAAATCCACATTGGAAAATGCACCCAGTTTTGTTTCTTCTCCTACAAACAGTGCTGCTATGAACATTCTTTATGTGCTTCCTGATGCACCTGTGACAGGTTTTTCTAAGATACCTATCAATCAAGTAGATAAATTGAGGTATAGAACCAAATATATATTTAGTTTTATGCCAAACTGTTTTCCAAAATAGTCCTTCCAAAGATATGAATTCTGCATATTCACCTTCAAGAAAGCCTTAGCTATTCTCAGCCCTTTGCTATTACATACACCTTTAAAAATTCAACTCTTTACTTTGAGATCATTGTAGAGTCACAAGCAGTTGTAAGAACTATGACAGACCTTGTGTATCATTTATCCAGACTCCCCCAATGGTAACATCTTGCAGAAGTGTAGCACCATATCACAGCCAGGATATTGTCATTGATACAGTCAAGGTACAGAGCATTTCCATTATCATAAAGGTCCCCCGTGTTATCTTTTTATAGCCACACCCACATTCCTCCTGCCCCATCCCCTTCCTAAGCTCTGGCAACCACTAAACTGTTCTTTGTTGCAGTAACTTTGCCATTTCAAGAATATTCTGTCAGTGGAATCACACAATATGTAGCCTTTTGGGATTGGCTTTTCTCCCTCAGCATAATCCTGTGGAGATTCTTCCAGGTAATGTATGTATCAATAGTTGGCTCCCCTCCCCTGCTGAGTAGTATTCCAAAGCATTACCACAGTTTGTTTAACCATTTTACCCATCAAGGGGTATCTGGGTTATTTCCATTTTTTTGCCTTAACAAATACAGCTGCTATAAACAATCATGTACAGATTTTCATGAGAAAATAAGCTCTTCTTTCTCTGGGATAAATACCAAGAAGGAGAATTGTGAGGTCATGGGGTAGCTGCATGTTTATTTTTTTTAAAGGAACTGGCAAACTGTTCTCCAGAGTGGCTAGACCACTTTACATTCCTACCAGCAATGTATGAGGGATTGTCTCTCCACATCCTCACCAGCATTTGGTTTTGTCACTGTTTACTTATTTTTTAAGCCATTTTGACAGGTATGTAGTGCCATCTCATTGTGGTTTAATCTGCATTTCCTGGATGGCTGGTAATGCTGAACATCTTTTCATGTGCTTATTTGGCACCTATCTATCCTCTCAGGTGAAATATCTGTTCATGTCTTTTGTTCATATTGGATTGTTTGTTTTTTACTGTTGAGGTTTGCAAGTTCTCTTCTATATTCTAGATACTAGTAGATACTAGTTCTTTGTCAGATACGTAGTTTGCAAATACTTTCTCCCACTCTGCAGCTGGTTTTTTCATCCTCTTACCCAGGTTCTTTACAGAGTAAAAGTTTTTAATTTTGGTGAAGTCCACCTTATTTATTTTTTCTTTTCAGAATTGTGTTTTTGGTGTCATGTCTAGGAACTCTTCATTAAGCCCTAAGTGCCAAAGATTTTCTCTTGTATTTTTTCTTAAAGTTTTTAAATAAGGTTTATGTTTTACATTTCAATCTGTGATACCGTTTGAGCTAAATTTTCATGAATCATGAGACTTCAGTTAGAATTTTGTTTTGTTTTGTTTTTGCCTGTTGATGTCCAGTTGCTTCAGCACCATGTTTTGGAAAGGCTGTCTTTTCTCAAGTGAATTCCTTTGCACCTTTATCAAAAATCAGCTGGGCCTTGTCACTGCGGGTGAGGGGATGGTCTCCTCTGATGCTTGTGGGTGGGAGGCTGGCCTCGGTACTGCCCAGGGGGGAATGAAGGCCTGGTTCCGATTTTGGCCTTCCCTGAGACCCCCATCCCAGCTGAAGGGTTGGGCCACCTTGATATAGGATGGCAATGGTGGAAGTCTATATTCACCACTTGAAATCTGCCACCCTGAGGGTTTTGGAGAAGAATGGGGTGGAAGAGTAAGTGCCTGTGCATTTGCTCAGCCTGCATTTGTTTTAGAATCTCAGCTCAGCATGGCTCTGATATTACTCGACATACCTGAGCAGCCAAGCTGTTGCCACTGGATTCTTCCTTACACTCCCCACCTCTGTAGCTCTGTATCGATGCATCTGTTACACCCATCCATCCATCAGACATCTATCTACTTACTTCTTCATCACTCCACTTACACACATGTGATACATACTTACATGCATAGATACATAGCCATTCATTTATCCAGACATTCTACTTATTCTATCTATCAATCTACCCATCATCCTTCCATTCACTTACTGATCCATTTAGCTGAGGCTACCTGTCATCTTCCCTGGCCAGTGTGGACAGAGGAATGAACAGAATT